GGTTGTGAATAGGAAAAAACTCTGCGGTGAGGTTTTTGAGGGTTAGAAAAACAGGTGGGCATCTCTTGGGTTGTTGGTCCTTTATTTTTTTTTTTTTTTTTCATTTTTCTCTTCTCTGCATCCTCGAGTTGTCAAATAAATGCATATCTGGTCTGCAAAGAAGTAAACCTTCATGTTTTGGGTTTTTTTTTTTGATGTTTGTTACTTTCATGAGAAATGACCATATACTATTGGGGGAAAAAGTTGTTGAGGATGCACGGTGCTTAAAAACACTTGAACAAACATTTAACAGTGTAGTTTTAAAGCTAATACAATAACAATTTTGCTAAACGTTGATGACTCACTACCTAATTTTATATCAACCAAAGTTCTGACGAGTCTGGTCCACAAACAGATAATTCAGATACTGAATTATTGAAGAGAAGAACTTAGACTGGATGCTGAGATAGCCATTTCTTGAAATAAAAGCTTAATTTGATACTGTTACACTTTTAAACAAAGCTGTCTGTTCTTGGTACAGCTCATAAGTAATCCAGGTCTTGAGGCTAAGGATGAAGGGATCTGTAGACTAACAAAATTTTTTCTTCTTGTACCAATTAACAAATAAAAGTTTCCAGTATTCAGAGTATAATTTAGGGTATTTTCTTTCTATTCCTTCTTGATGATGAATTCACTGTGTTCTTTTTAGTCAGCTTTATCAGCTTCCTAACTGGAGGTTATTAAATGTTACTTCAATATAATGAGCTATATTTATTTCACAGGATGTTCATGTTGGCAGCTGCCTGCATACATTCAATTCAGTGCTCTTGTGAGCATTACACTGAGACCTCCATAAAAGCTCGTGTTATTTGAACACAGGAAAAGGGATCCCTCAAATGAAATTTGATTTGGTCAATCTGTGAACTATGAAGGACCACACACAAGGGTGTGGTTGTAATTCTGATGCTAGCATTTCCTTAATTACAGGGTACCCTTTTTGCTTTCATGAAAAATGCCAAAGGCTTGCTTACCCCCTTTTTACACTTGGCTGCTCTGTGTATAGTCTTTGTAACACTAAACCCATATTTATGTAGAGATCTGTGCGTTTGAGAGAATGTGGACACAGTTACAGCCACGTGAAGAGACTCACACGAAGCTTTTAAAATATTTATGGATGTGATTTATATTTCTTGCTCAGACCAGCCCCTTTTTTTTTTGGTATGCACCAAATGTCAGTGTGCTTCATTTCTGCAATGCGACTTTGTGATTCGGCCTTATTTTTCTAAGTTTCTGAGTTCTTACCCAAGTAACTTGGTCTGATTTTAAGGTGTATTTATTGGTTTGGTCAGTTCTTACTGCCCCCAGAAAATTAATGGTCTCTCTCTCTCCCCTGTAACTGCTCTTTTCTCTTCTGAATATTGTAAAGCATACCAAATCATTACATCATTTCCAGATTTTGCTTTTCCTGTCTGGGTGTGACTGCCTGCAGGAGGAATATTTCCGAGTTTTCAGAGTTTTAAAAAATGCTACACTGAACATATGAGATGAGCTGAATCTGTAATAGCTGGGGCTGTTATTGTTTCTTTGAATTTATATAAACACTTACAGAAAGTTTGTTAAGATCGAGGTGCATTCCCAGCAGCAGAGGTATTGTCACGTGCCTTATTTCCCTGAAAAGTGAATGCTTGAATGGTGTTATGACTTGACTTTTGTTTGGAGAAAAGGAGGTATTGCTCGTTTTGTTTTATATCACGCACACCAAAGCTCATTTGCTCTTGACAGTCAAAACAGGCCTTCCTACCCGTTAGCTCTGCAAAGTAAATTTGGAGTCTTCATTTTATGCATTATTAACAGCAATATTCATCTAATTGGGAATGAGGAGATGCCACAGTAACTGCAGACTGAAACCTTTTCTTACAACTGTAGTAGTTCTACAGTAGAAGTAGTAAAATAAATATATGTAGTAAGTAATTTTGAGTATGATAGTTTATTGTGCTCAATAGGGAGTTTATTATGAAAAATGGCATTCTTTGTTTCTGGAGTGAATTTTTTTATATATTGAAAGCAAGACATGTAATGTATCAGTACAATGTATTACCTCATTTGTAGCTGTGTTCTAACATACTACCTTTACATCTTTTTGTTTACAACATTTTACCTCATTTTCTTTTGCAGTATAAAGAAATGTAAAAATTATTACGAAGTCCTTGGGGTGTCAAAGGATGCAGGTGAAGAAGACCTAAAGAAGGCTTATAGAAAACTTGCTTTGAAATTCCACCCAGACAAAAACCATGCACCAGGAGCAACAGAGGCTTTTAAAAGTAAAATACAATTTTTACTTAAAATTTCTTTTATGATTAAACTTTGTCAGATTAAAAGAAATTCATCTGCATTGGTGTCTTGTATTTTTACAAAATTGTCAATGTGGTGTTTTGTAGCTATTATTAAACTGACATTTTTATCCAAGAAAATAGTTGACCTTTATTATCTTAACATATACCTAGAAGTATAGATAAATAATGTGAACTTCTGCAGTAGGGTTTGGTTTCAGAGGATTTACTGTAATTTTCAGGTTCAGGAAGCGAATTCTTGATCTGTGAAACCAAATTGCACTTTTTTAGTGTTTTTTTTGACTTAATGTAGTCAATTGAATCTTACTATCTTGAATCTTTACTGCACTTGAGCTTGAAAAAACTGAAGTAACGCTTGATAGCAAAACACAGTTTTCACACAGCGGGATAAGTTACCTTTTCCTCAGAATTCCTTGTATGTGTGTAGTTTTACTACGTTTTCCATACAAAACCACTGGGGTTCCAACCTGGCCTTATTAATAGTTGCCTTTGACCGTTTCTTAGGTAAAATTTACAATCTGACTTGACCTGACCTAAGGCTGCCAAGCTTAGCCCTGCACAAGGAAAATTGTTGAGGAAAAGCTTTTTAAAGAAAACTACACCTTCATCTCAGACACAGATGAAGAAAAGTGTGAATGTGTAAGAAATTATCATACATAAGTAAACAATCTGATTGTGATACATCTTCCTTATTTTTATCCTGTGTGAGGTTTACATGCAGACATTTGAAAAAATCAATCAGATAAAACACTTAAATTGGGGGAGGGAAGAAAAAGAAAAAAAAAGTCCTGAGCAAGACTTCTGATACAGACTTTAAAGGATAATTATAATACTGTATTAACAATTCCAGATGAAAAGTAGATAGAATATAGCGGGAAAGTTGATTGCTAATGATTATTTTAATACAGCTATGTGATGGCTTTATCTAAAAAAGATATTATTCTTAGAAAATTGTCTCTAGCTCTATAAATAAAAGAATTCTTCCTTCTTAATAGCATTTTAAAAAATCTTTAAAATATAAGAACTCCGTTTCTTATTATTTAATCTTTTATTTAACTTTAGCACTTTGTACAAGTTTGATGTCTTCAGCTTAATTTCACTTTCTGGTTCTTAACGGGATGAGTAAATGAACAGAAAATTTTGTAGGGGAGTCTTGTTGACTAAAAATTATTTAATGAAAACTAGCCTTTTTCTTCCATCAAAATTATTGTAATCATTTTGTATGGCTGAGTAAATTTATGATTTAGTTTGTCTTTAAAGGTGTCTGATGAGTTTAACATCTAGCTGAGAAAAGGAGTTTCATAACAATAGCTGTTATTTCATGATAGTGCTTTATTTTCAGGAAAGGTCATATTAGAAAACAGAATTGAGTTTGATGTCAGGCAAGGCACACACTTATATCTTGAGCTACCTAGTACTGTTGTATTAAGCAGTCTCCCTGAGGTTGTATTTTAGGTTAAAAACTTTGTGCAAATATAATCACTTTTCATCTCATGGAATCTCTTTTACCAGCTTCATCAGAAATCCTTCCTTTGAAACTTTTGAGTAGTTTTTTTTCATTTTTTATGTCCTTTATTTAAAGACAACTATTTTTAAATCAAATCTGGTGTGAATTAGCATCAAATAATCAAAAGCAAATAACAAATAGTAAAAAAAGATTGCTGACTGTACCATGACAGTATGGTCTCTTCGTTTTATGTGCAGTCACCTGATTTATGTCTCCCTAAATTCTTGATTGTTGGAAAAATCTAAATTTTTCTGACTAGTTTTTTTCTTTTTGCTGAGTAACAAAAGAACCTTGTAGTAATATTTGGCATCAGTACTGTATATCACGCTCTCAGTGCAAATTACCAGCCTTCATTTCTTTCTGTTTTCTCTTCCACTGAAAGGAATTGCTAATAATTATTTCTAAGGGCATCTTAAAAGGCACATAGCTAAGACTCATAAACTTTTTTTTAGATTGGATAATGTTGAAAACATTAATTATGCAAAGCCATACTCTTATTTGCCTGTGTTGAGGTTATAGTGTGGCACCTTTCACGAATTTTTGATGACTGATGTCTTTTTGACACTGAAAAACGTAATCCCTGTGCCTTGTGCTGGTTGGCTGCAAAAGCAGCCTGTTGTTGGAGAGGCTGGGGGAAGAGTGGGAAAGGAAAGCAGAAAGGGTTTAATGAAGATATGACTTGAGTGAAGATTGCTGATCGAGTGCCAACAGAAATTTTCCTTCAGTCTGCGGGAGCTGTATGTCTGTGCAGAGCAGCTCAGGTCAAAGCTTGTAAAGTCAGCAGAGCTTGTGGTCTTTTCACAGTAACTCCGTTTTTCCCCCCTTTCTGTTGCCAAAATTGATGTTCATTTGTGATAACATAGCGTGAACAGGGACAAGCATCCAGGCCAGGCACTCCAAACATTGAGCTCGTATTGACAACCTTGGGAACACATGTGTTCCTGTCATGCACCCTCGTTGTACTCTTCATGTTACGTCATGCAAAACTTTGTGTTATTAATGTAATCCATAATATATCTTAAGAAGCCTATAAAAAATACATTCACACTCTTGTAGACAATAAAGTTGATGCATTTGAAGAAGTCACCACTTCCTAAATGAAACCAAAGAAAACCTGAGTCTATGATGTCTTTAAGTTAGGCTGCTAGAGCAAACTGAGCTTTGCAATTACCCCACTTCAAAGCTTTCATTGTAATGCTTGATGCTTTTTTTGTAATCGCAGTGAGAGAGAACATTTCCATAGGTGTAGGTGTTCCCCTACAAAAGGGATCAAAGCTCTCCTCCCTTCTGCCTAGTTCAACACGATAAAAGGCCTTTGAATAGTGTTGGTGGGAAACTTTGTGGAAGATATACTAAGAAAAGTAGAGATGTTTCTGGACCTTGTTGTACTATGGTTGATTTGTAACTTACGGTAAAGGGCATAATTTGCTGCCTATTCTTGACTTTGAAATTGCAATTTTCATGCTGGAATAGCTCTTATCTTTCATTTATGGGAATTGTCTTTTATTCCTTGCTTCAGAAATTGGAAATGCGTATGCTGTGCTGAGTAATCCAGAAAAACGAAAGCAGTATGACCTTACAGGCAGTGAAGAGCAAACATGCAATCACCCTAGCAACGGTAGATTCAACTTCCATAGAGGTTGTGAGGCAGATATTACTCCAGAGGATCTATTCAACATGTTTTTTGGAGGGGCCTTTCCAACAGGTATTTGTATATATCAGTATACTCATTGGGATACAGTGGTACTGCCCAGAGTGGCATTAGAGTTTGTGACATTATAAAACAGTAAAATGATTCCAATCTGCCTCAGACCCCGACTCTTTAATCTGCGTCACAGTTTATTTTTCCCCTAAGTGTTGCAAAATCCCAGAAATGTGAGTTCAGGTTTTGGGGTTACTATGGTGATTTTGCAGTACGTGAAAAAAGAATTCAGTTGTCTTAGAGCTTAAAATATTTATTTTAAACAACTTCAAAATTGTTAAACAACTTCGAAATCGTAAAGTTGAGTTATGTGTCGTTGTGCAGTGATGTTAAATGCCTTGTGTTGTTGCTTCTGTGTTGACCTCTAAATAGTTTTGTTGGGTCTTTTTACATTATTTAAATGTGGATTTTTCTTTCTTAGGTAGTGTACATTCTTTTTCTAATGGTCGTGCTGGCTACAGTCATCCTAATCAGCACCGTCAGAGCGGACATGAGAGGGAGGAAGAGAGGGGTGATGTATGTTTAAGCACTATTGACTTTAAACTACAGATTGTGAAATTTGCTGGTAGTTGCTTTCAGTGGTGTGGCTGTACAGGAGCTCTGTCCTGTAGAGGAGGATTTGTACTTGCCAGTTACATAATTTAAAACTTCGGCAGGCGGTAGTCTTACTGATTGGTAAACAGGCACACAAATTTGAGAAGATAATAGCCTGGTTTTGTAAATCTGTTGTTCTATGTCACTATCTTACTAGTGACTGATGGTATTAGCCTAAATATGCCACTAATTCTGGTCACTAAACATCATCTGCATTTAAAAATTCATTTGGGCTGAGGTAAGAATTGTACTTAAGGCTCAATATTCATCTACATGAATTATATACAGTCCTGTATAATTACATATCACTGTATAGATGAGACCAAATCATGGCGTACAATGTAACTGAATCCAGCTATTCATTTGCTAATTGCTTGTGGCTACATGCTAACCCATGAACTCTTGAGTGCAGCTTGAGCACTCTATGAATATTGTGAATGCAACGGAAAGTTAAGATAACACCACAGTGTTTGCAGGTTTGTAGTTACAGTTTTCCTAGCAGCTTTTGAGGCTTAAAGCAGAAAGTCACGCTTAGCACTAAATCTTGTCAAATTTACCTGTTTACTTGATGCAGTTTTATGAGATACCTGTATCTGTTTTGTTCCTTAGGGAGGTTTCTCTATGTTCATTCAGCTGATGCCTATTATTGTGTTGATCCTCGTCTCCTTGTTGAGCCAGTTGATGGTATCTAACCCTCCTTACGCCTTATACCCAAGATCGTAAGTAATATTTGCTTAGATCAGATTGGATTAAAACAGAGGGGAGGATGTTGTAATCACCACTTAGAAGCATTTTAGAGAGCCTTCCATTAGTTGGCCCTTGATTTCCAACAGTGAGCAAAGGGGGGGAAGGTATAGACGAAGCAGGACAAAACTTGAAAGTTAGGTACTGCAAACATGTTGTGAGAACGTAGTAGAGAAAAGAGGTCAGCGATACCTGGGGTTTAGGAGGCCTTCTAATGCAAGGCAGTGGGTTCATGCAACGTAGCATATTGCAAAGGATTTTGCATCTCCAGCATGTTTAATCAAATCCCGAAACCTTCTAAGGCTCATTATTCTTTTAGGGGTCATTGGTGCTTGTAGCAAGTGAAGTTCTTGAAAGCATCTTGAAAGCAACTTTCTCATCCTTATTTACGTTTTGAACTAGGTGAGGGCCAGGGAAATTGTCTATTCTTTTCTTCATTCTAGGTGATGGTAAAATAGTTTATCTTTGTTTTCTCGCAAAAAATTCTACTAGTGAAATTTACCTGGTTTGTACGGTAGGATATATAAACCTTTTCTACTTGAGAGAAATAAATAACTTCAATCAAGCATGCAACTAGCTAGTAGTTCTTTATTTCCAGAGTGTGATGTTTTTCCCTTCTGCAACTAAGCTGTTGTGATGCTTAGAAACACTTCTCTGCAAAAACGTTTGCATACAGTCTTTGATTTTTAATCCACAGAATGCCAGCAGGAAAATGGATTTGTCAGGGCTGACAGAAAACACTTTAGAATGGAGATGCCTGTACTGGGTTGCTTCAGAATAGTGACCTGTTTTTCTTTCTGTTGCGTTTGAATGTAATTTTCTATTACGAAAGTGTATATTTGACTAAAGAGATGTGAAACAAGTGTCTTTCTAAAGTGGTTTTTTTTTTTTTCAAGATCAAGGGTTTAAGCAGCAGAAGTTTAATGTTCAGGTAAATGTAGTAATTTTATTCTCTGGCAGATAATACAGCCATTCATTTCATTACTTGTCTTGAAAGGGCAAATTCAGTGATGTGCTGTTCTTCTGTAATAGCAATATTTTTTAAAAGTGTATTTCAAATCAGTATCTAGTCTCTCTCTCTCCCCTCTCCCTCCTTTTTTGCAGAAGTACAGGGCAGACCATAAAAATGGAGACAGAAAACTTGCATGTTGTTTATTATGTCAACAAAGACTTTAGAAATGAATACAAAGGAGTGTCATTACAGAAAGTGGAAAAGAGTGTGGAAGAGGATTATGTGTCCAACATTCGTAATAACTGTTGGAAGGAGAGGCAACAAAGTAAGTTTGGTAATATGCCTAATTTCATGAAAGCGTGCATTGCTATAAAAAAAGATGGGCTCAGGCAAGAATCAAGTGCTTGTACGATTAAAATACCTGAATGCAAAAGCAAGTGTAAGGTTCCCTATTGTTTCTCACTTCTAAAAGTGTCCCCAGTGTCACTTAATTTCTGTGTTTTACTCGGTGACCTAACAACCATCTGCAAATCATCAGCAGTGTTAAGCTGCTACTCTTATTATCTGTGACCATTTCTCAGAAGATTAAGAACTACAGTGAATTGATAATGAGAAAGAAATTGCTCTAAGTTAAGGATGAAAGCTAAGAATTCTAATCTCTTTCACGTTATTTTATTATGGGAATATCTCATTTCCCTAGGTGCTTGTATTTAAATAAATAAATGAAACAAAAGCTTACATAGGTGTTTCCGGAGAAGGAAAATATAATCTGCCTTGGACCACAGTACAAACACTGCTTTTCCAGGCGACCAAGGACACACAGCATGTCCTGTAAAACATCACAAGCTGTAAATCAGTCCTTAATCTTTTGCCAGTGCTGAATAATTTTTCTCCCTGGACTTGGTACCCTGGCTATATCACAGCTTAAGAACAGGGTTTTTTTTAGTTTGCCATCTATTTTTCCAATCTAATTTGATACTATACAAGGAGCTATTTTCTTGCAGGAGCCTAGAATTCAGTGTTAAAGCATAAGACCACTGAATAGCATCGGCCATTTCCAAATCACCAGCAATTTTAACCTGTTTTTCTATTACATGTGACCATTTCACAACTCTTTCACACTCTGTGAGAACATTGCTGCTAAAATGACAGCAGTGTTGAAACCACATTTTCAACTTTTCAGCTGGTAAACTTCAGTAATATCTTCCTGGATAAATAATCTGTTCAGGAACTGTAAGTAAACTAACCAGAAGCAAACAGAATGCTCTTCTCTGCGTGAAATTTTGTATTCCTGCACAGCTTTACTCTCTGCAGTCCAGTGATGCCAAGCCTTTCAGCTGAGGTGGCCCCTTAGCTTCTCCCAGTTGTAAAAGACAGCCCGGCATCACAGCTAGTCAAATGCCTGAAAAGGATTGCATGTGTTCATTACAGCTGGCCTGTACATATACAAACACAAACTGCGTTGCCCATGCATAGCAGGCACAATGCTTCCTGGAGGCTTTATGCTTCTTACTCATCAGTACACATTGCTTATGCGCAAGTAAATATCTGCAGTTTTACAAATTGCCCACAGGAAAGAACTGCAGGCAAAAAACTGCGCTGATGCGTCATGTGTATGCAAGAGGAACACCAGTGCTTTGGGGGAAAACTTTCAGATTGTTGCCCAGAGTACTAGATTTGATCAGAATAATTTTTCCCAGAAAGCATCAGAGAATTTTTGGGTATAATTCATAAGCAAATATAAAAAACTCTTGTATTTTTCCAGCTAGGCTGTCCTTTGATCATCTTGAAATGTTCGAATATGTTCGCTCTTCATGAAATGAGTACCTAATTTTTCATTTGCAAGTGGTTGCTAGATGAATGATTGGTAATCCTATAATAAAATAGTTTACACAAATGATCGTGGTTGTTAACAAAAAATTAAAGACAAGATGTAATCCAGCACAATAAAAAGAGGACATATTATTTGCGTATTTTTTTCAGCGGAGTGTAGATCTGGAAGGATAGTTTTTATTGACCTCGTCATTACGCTTAGTTTTACTGGCATGTTATATTCGTGTCTCCTGTAATATATTTACTGTCTAAATATCTTTGAAAAGGTTTAGTTGATATGCAATTTCCACCTGGGGAGGGAAAGAAAGAAAGAGGAGAAAGAATACCTTTCCCATTTTTCAGCATTTATTTTTGTCATGCTTACTTTTTTAAGCATGAACAGAGACCTGGACAATGCAGAGGCCCACGAGTCCATAAATACGTATCTACTGGGGAAAATGTGATGACTAGAGAAACATCTGACCATAGTATAAAGAAGAGAAATAACCTGAAGGTGGTGACTGTCATGTTGTTTGCTATTTGCAATTTATCAGGTTGTGAAAACTACCCAAACTGTTTTTGAGAAAGCAGCCCCTAATAGTTTTTCTCTATTTATAGAAACAGCTGATTTTGTGGGTTTACAGATTTAAAATGCCTGTTGCGTGCTGGATCTCCTTGACAGTTAAAATCTTTCCAGTGTTGATTGACATTTAAGAATGCGTTGCTAATGCATTTTGAGTTGAAGGGCTGAAAAAGATTTTACAGAATTAAAATGCTCAGTAACGTCAAGCTATTGAACATCAGTATAATTCAGAGAGCTCTTTTATTAGTACCTCTGAACACTGGCAGTCTGAAGTAGCATCAGTTGAAGTAATGGGCTTAACATTCAGAATGGATTTTTGGGCACAGACAAGACTGCTAGACCTGTAAATAATATGCAAGATCACTGAGTGCGGCCTATATTTGTATTGTTTAATGAGGTGTGACAGAAGTAGTGGCGGGGGGGCGGGGGGTCATTCTTTAATCAGGAACTGCTATATGAAATATGAGGGTGTTGGAAGGCTGTTACCCCTTTCGCTGCTGAAAAAAATGAAATGCTTGTGAAGATCCAGCAAAGGGAAGCTGTAGCAGTGTTTAGCTGGTGTCTGTGGGTAGTTAGAATAGACAGAAGGAAAAAAGGGCAAGGATTAAACCTGTGGTGTTTTGGACAACTCTGAGAAGGAATGTATCATGTGCAAAGTATTCAGTTTTTAACCTGAATTTTTTTTTCTCTTTTTTTCGTTAAAGAAACAGACTTACTTTATGCAGCAAAAGTATACCGAGATGACCGTCTCCGAAAGAAAGCAGACTCCATGCCCATGGACAACTGCAAAGAACTAGAACGGCTGACCAGCCTCTATCGAGGAGGATGAACTACAATTATACATGTACATCTCTACGTATGCCGTTATCTCTCTTGTAAATTAAGAAGAGATTTAGTTTCACCATGAATGCTGGAAGAGAGGGGTGGATGTAAAACTCTACTGTGTAGCTGTTTCCAGAAACCTTATGCTGAAATATCATTTAATGGCTTCTTTACCTACTGTGAAATATAGGTAACTTTAATTGTCTAGACTTTACTTCAAAGCTTCTGTGAATTCTTTCAGCAGAGAGAATAGCTCAGAAAGGATGCTATACTTGTAGAGACTTAGTCATAGTGGTTCTCCTCTAACATATTTGCCATGTAAATATCTGTGGAAAGAACACTTTGTGTATATACGAGTTAAATGACTTTCTATTTAAAATCTCAGAAATTTAGTTCCATACAACATTTTGTCTCACTGATGGAATAAATAGTATGATTACATCACTCCTATTCAGATGTCAAGTGTGTGGAGTTGAAACAAGAATTTTTAATATTTTATCTCTATGTAAAATCTTCTAGGTTTACCAGCTTAGAGGAACTTGGTATTTTTAAATATAATGGCATATATTCCTAAATATCTGTTGGGCTATATTGATCTGGTGTAGAGTAGCAGTTAGCTGTTGTAGTTTTTTAGCGTTTCTAAGCAATGCTGAGAAAACTAAGAACTACACTAATCTCTTTTCAAAGTAAATATTTGCAAATGCTGTACAGACCATTATAAGCATTGCTTTTAGTCCTTGCAACAGTTTACAGCAGCTCTACCATTTGGTATTCCAGTAGTATTAAGTCCATACGTATGGTTAACATGCATCCATAGCTTCCTTAATTTTCACTGGAAAGGTAGAGGAAAACATGCAATAGTAAAATCGTAAAGCTCAAAAGAAGAAAAAAAAAAAGGCAACCTCATTTTTTTTCCTGGGAGGCTTCCGTTTTCTTACTATTTTTTTATTTCAGGCTAGGTCCCAACACTGATTCCTGAATGGGCACCACAAGTGGAACAGGGAACTATTGCTAAGGACAAGCTATGTGCCTTTCAACACTTTTGCCAACTATTTAAATGCTTTGCTAGTTTGCAGTGTGCTCCTATGGTCAGAGCCATATCACTTGTCCTGGGGCGGAAGAGGTAGGGTGTGCATTTCTCTGGATCAGAACGTTGCTGGACTGACTTCCTAGAAATGAGCAAACGTACCGTTCGGCTCCTACGTACAAGATCGTGTAACTCAGTGGCCTGTACGTGGAAACTATATGTAGCTACACCTGCTGATGCAAAGAGGTGTTTTGAAGCAGCTAAGTACAATGTACTTGAAGTTTATTGAAAGTGGGTTGAAAATGTTTTTAGGTTCAATAGCTGATGTTTTTACATTTTAACAGTGCTATGCAGCAGAATGTTTCTTGTATTTGAAAATGCCAGGGCAGTACTTTTTGTTTGAGAAAGCTGCTATCTTTGAACAATGCTATCAGTTTACGTGGAGCCAAATTCTCCTCCTAAATTAAAAGTTTAAATACTTGACTGACTTCATGGAAATTCCTTCTGATCTAGAGCAGGATGTGACTTCAGAAATACGCTAAACGCTATTGCTCTAAGTGACCCAGAAATCATTTTGCATCTATACCTTTTCTAAACGGTCCCACTGGAAATGTCCTCTGTTGAATTGGTGTAACATGAGAGAGAGTAGCTGTAGGCTTTTAACTGAGCAGCTAAACCAGCTGATGTCAAGGTGGACATCAAAGCCTGAGGCACAAAGCAGAACTAAAATTGCTGACACTAAAAAAAACCAAAGAGTTGCTGTACTGGATGTCCTTATGAAGATTACAGGAAAAGTGTGCAGAACTAATGGAAAGGCACCCAAATGCTTGAAGTTTGCAATAGAAATTTATGGAGAAAACGTGATTCCACGGATTTTGTAACTGTCCAGAATGTATTGTAATTATACTAATGAAAACAAACTATCAAAGTACATATTGGTACTCCTGTGTCTTCTTAATAGAAGAAAATTGTTCCAAAGGCTTTTACAAGTACTTGGGCCTTCCTGTTGACAAACGAGTCTGAGCTTGCAGGTGATCTTTTATTTCAGAGGAAAAGGATATATAATGGATTTGTCAAATATCAGAACAGTGAAGTCGGAGTGAAGAGATGGCCTTAGCAAAGCTGCTTATAATAATCAGGTGGGTTATGTTTGCCCTGCAGTTACTTCTGCTGCAGCTGAGAAGCAGGTAAATGGGCGGATGTTGAGCTGTCTTGGGTTGGTTAGATTGCTGTCAGTGTCTCAGCAAACTGGAATAATGCAGTGGCTGTGTCCTATGGCAACGTAGACGTCCCAGCAGTTTAAAAGTGAGACCTAAGGCTGCTACGTTTCATTGGATTATCTTTTGCAATTGCCATTTTCAAAGGAGGAAACAAATAATATGTTTATATTGGTGGAAAAATGCTACTTAGCATTTAATAGATTAAATAGTTGCACACTTTGAAATAGTAGTATGCAGAAGGATGCTGCTATTTCTTGTAGCATAAAGATTAACCTGCTGTAAATATGGCCTGCAAACATTGTTTTAATATTCCAAGTGGGTGTTTCTCTGCTCGTGGTTGTTACTTTCTTCTCAAGTCTAAAGGTTTTTTCTTCAGAAATGACATTCCTTCAACAAAACCAGGGAAGATAATCTGCTGGAAAGTTCAGAACGAATTTTCTTAGGAGCAAGATGCTAATTGAAGAGCGTGGAGTACTTGAATGTTTTCAGATTACCTTTCTTCAGGAGGTGAAGTTCTTGTTAAAATAAGATATTGGAAAGAAAGGGGAAAAACAAAACTGGTTTTGAACAGCCTGACTAAAAATCCCTCAACTTTTCTAGCTACCCAGAATTAACTCCTTACTCTTTTTATTTAATTCTAGATTAAATACAGGTCATAACTGAAGGTAGCACAAGCCTGGGTCCTTGATTTTTCCTTTAGAAGAGCAAGCAGGAAAGTCCTGCAAAAAGTGAAAAATCTTGGCGTGGCACTTTGACACATCATAATGGAAAAGGGAGACGATTTGCATCTGCTGAAATACAGCATCAGTATGTGTTCTATTTATGGAGCATCCTGAGTGACAAGTGAGTTCACTGTTCAC